CAGTCCGAAAGAATGAGATAGCCATTGAAACAGAGACCTGCCAGAGTCTTGTGCGACAGGATCACCTTACGAGACTAAGCCATATCCCTACCCCGATGTGTTGGTGCAAGGTGAGTTCGACATGACTGGGGCAGGGGCATCGGCTGGACATTATTCACGATAGGGCAAGGATTTCATGCTACCAAGCCTTGGCCTTGATAAACATGAGGTATTGTCCCTTCCTTCTTCTTCTGTAGCTTCTGCAAAAGTTTGTCGAACCAGACTACCATAATAGGTGATGACGATGTAGAAGCACATGCGCCGCTGAGAAGCATTTTATGAGGCGAAGCATGAGGATAGGCAAGACTGACATTGACTATATGCAACTTTTTCTCGGGTCGGCTATGTAGTCAGTAGGAAAGCTCGTCTCCTTCATTCATGTGATTGAGGACGTAAAACAATGATTGATGCTTGACATGCGCCGGCCACTGACAGGCCGCATGGAATTGGCATGCAATTCCAGGTGACAGGGAGAAGGGTGGTGAACCTGGTTCCAACATCAAATTACACTGACCGGAATTGCGGCCTCTGTACGGAGTATTGAGTGGGTGACGAAGTCCGAGGCTCCTGATACCACAATCTCTGCCCACATGTCTCGTCTGACTGTGTTCTAATCCATGATCAATGTCACAAATAGTCCGCGGTAACTGACTGCGTAATTTGGTAGCCCGTAAGCTCGCACCAACAACGCGGGCCTGCGGCAAGGGCCCGCAGTGGATCCTGATCCGGCCCCTGCTGGAGGGTGGTCGCTGCGCCATCCGCTACTGCCCCGCTAATGCCATCCCGACTCGGCGGGCCCCACTCAGAGCCCATCGGTGCCTTCCGAGTCTCGTCAGATATACGGAATACATCACGACAGACCAATCTTTCCAATCAGATCGCTCCCGAGACCCCAAGGCAACCGTCAGGCTGAACTGTGCCTCTTTCATCTTGCATCCAGCTTTGCGGTCAAGTTACATCATTCGTCTCGGTCATCTCCAGCTCCGTTTTGCTGCGTGCCTCGTCTGCCTCGTCATTGGTAGATCGACAAGACATCAACGGTCAGCAATCGTGCGATGAAACATATGCCAGGGCCGAGTCTCCCGTCATTGTCCAATACCATCTGGCAATCCACGAGTCAGCCTTTCAACTCTTGGGTAGGGCTGAGTTCACTGTCCACGCGATTGCAGACTTACTAGGTAGGTACATCAGACCGCCGCTGCTGCAGGGGTCAACCCATCAGCGTCTGGCCAATGCGTCGTAACGACTTACAACGACGTTGGTGGCCTCGTCACTCGCCCAGTTGTGCGCCGCCGCAATTCGATGGCATGCTGCAAGGCCCGATCGACAGAAACGAGTGCCAGAGCGACGCTTATCCAGCACAGCTAAGTGACCAACACCCTCCAATCTGTTCCGCTCAGTTCCTACAGCTGTCGTACGCATCATAGTCGCAAGACGCGAGAGGCACTGGAAATGGTACGTTACGATGTACCTCGTCCAGAGATAAATGTTCTTACGTCCGTTAGGAACGCCTTCTTCAACAAATCCACCACTGGAAACACGCGATATTTATAAAATGACGTTAAATAAAACATCACCAACATGCTGTGCTGCGCGGGATCTTGCTTGTGGTCGAATCAGCATTATCGTTGAATCGTTTCACAACAGGTGAAATCCCCGGAAACTTCTCTTTCCAGCAGTCACACTATCCCTATCTGAGGTACCTTGAGGAAACACAATGGGCATCGACGATAACTGTTGCTGCTTCTAGAAACCTGTTTGGCCAACGTCAGCTCGGCGATGCGGGTCTGGCGCACGCAGCCCATCTCTCGTCTTGTCAGTGTCACCCAGACCAGCCAGGGTCTGCGGAGGCATTCTACGTCATGTATAACCCTGAACAAAAGGAGTCGTCAAGTGCGCGTGGAGTTCAAGGTCTTGAGCCACAGCCGGTGTTCATTTATCCGTTGTCGCACTGCTACATTCAGATGGGCAGATTCTTCAAAGCCAGCAACGTTGTCTTGCCGCTCAAAGTATCGATCTATCGGCAGGCAGAACGCAATTCGGGCCGTCATTCTCTCGTTGAGCACTGTGTTCAACCCTTCAAGCTGGTAATCGAGCATCGGTGCCTACGGCAGACGGCGGAAATAGCCGCTACGTGGTTGCCCGAGAGACCCTCAGACGTGCTTGGTATCCAATGTCGACCTATCAGAGTTGACTCATATCGCTAATACATGATGATCATCTTTGAGTGAGTAGAGCGACTTTACTGGCTTCTATCAGATGTTAGAGATGTCAACGGCCGACGAGCCGGCTTCTTGCCGCAATTGAAAGTGGCTTTAGAGTGTCAGCACTGGTCTCAGTATATTCTCTTGTCAGCACCTTCTCTTCACACCCATTCAGACTCGCGCCCTTCTAGGCAAGGTGGCGCTCTCTGAAGGATTCGGCTTATTCGAATCCTTCAGTCGGCACTTGGAAAGATGGCTGTCAAAGTACTCCAGCCTGTTGGGATCTTTGTTCACACTTCACTGGCGACCAGTCATCACTCAAAAGCAGTAAGTAATTTGCTTATCAAAAAAAGTAATTGGTATTGATTTAACTCAGGTATCCCTGCCGCCAACGCCAGCTCCGAAATACAAATAGACGTTACACCGAATTTCAAGGTCATCACTACGTCTGCCCATCGTCCTTAGACGTGGGTGCCGCCACTCGCATCAACTTTTCGTATTCCTCTTCCGAATTGCCGGTCGAGAACGCTTAGTTCCACCAGTCTCCCTGGTCGTGCATGGCACGGGCAACCTTGACGAAACCGGCAATGTTGCTACCAGCGACCAAGCTGGGAAGCTCGGTCTCACCACCCTTGACGTACTCCTTGGCGGTGTTGAGGCCGTTGAAGAAGGCAGCGGTCATGATGTCCTTGAGCTTCTGGTCGACCTCCTCGCGGGTCCAGCTCAGGCGCTGGCTGTTCTGGGCCATCTCGAGGCCAGAGACGGCGACACCACCGCAGTTGGCAGCCTTGCCGGGAGCGTACCAGATGGCCTCGCCCCCCTTCTCCTTGCGCTGAGCCTCGAAGACGTCGATGGCCTCCTGGGTGCAGCCCATGTTGGAGCCCTCGGCGATGGCAATGCAGCCGGCGGCAATGAGAGCCTCAGCCTCCTCCTTGGAGACCTCGTTCTGGGTCGCGGAAGGCAGAGCAATGTCGACCTTGCCAACGTGGGTCCAGGGACGAGCACCCTTGATGTACATGAAGGAGCCCTTGTGGTCGAATTCGGTAAGAGACTTGCGCTGGACCTTGAGGTCGGCAATGTTCTCAATCTGCTCGGGGGTGAAGGCAGCGTCACCCTCGGCGACAAGGCAGCCCTGGGAGTCGGACAGGGAGACAACGGTGGCACCGAGTTCGATGCACTTGAGAGCGGCGTACTGAGCGACGTTGCCGGAACCAGAGATGGCGACACGCTTGCCGGCGAAGGAGCCCTTGTTGGCGTACTTGAGCATCTGCTCGACGTAGTAGACGACACCGTATCCAGTGGCCTCGGGGCGGATCAAGCTACCACCCCAGGTGAGGCCCTTTCCGGTGAGGACACCCTCGAACTTGTTGCGCTCTTGGCGGTAGGTACCGAACAACCAGCCAATCTCGCGGCCAGAGACACCGATATCACCGGCGGGAACGTCGGTGTCGGCGCCAATGTGCTTGCTGAGCTGGCGCATGAAGGAGACGCAGAAGCGACGGATCTCGTTGTCGCTCTTGCCCTTGGGGTCGAAGTCGGAACCACCCTTACCACCACCCATGTTGAGGCCGGTCAAGGCATTCTTGAAGATCTGCTCGAATCCGAGGAACTTGAGGACCGACAGGTTGACGGTAGGGTGGAATCTCAGACCTCCCTTGTAGGGGCCGAGGGCCGAGTTGAACTGGACGCGGTATCCACGGTTGACCTGGAGCTTGCCCTTGTCATCCTCCCAGACGACGCGGAACTGGATGACGCGCTCGGGGATGGAGACGACCTCGAGGGCGGTTCTGTACTCGGGGTTCTGAGTGAAGAGGGAGGAGTTCTCGAGGGTGCTGACAAGCTCTATAGATGGTGTTAGTCTTGTTGGATTCGTTGTGTAAGAATGGTTGTAGATGGCAACATACCGTTGTAAGCCTGCTGGAACTCGGGCTCGGTAGGAAGGTTAGACATTTTGACGGTTTAGAAGTATGTTGTATACGTATGGTGCTTCAAGATTGTGTCTCTGAGAGGTGAGTTCCTAGTTCGTCTGGCAGAGAGAGAAGCTGATGAAGTTCCAAAGTCGAGAAGATGGGGGAGAGCGGTGCGCCCGCAAGATTATATACAAATCTGGGAACCCCGTCGATCGAAACGAGAGCCAAATCGAATCGAGTAAGAGCTCACAGGCTGGCAACGGCGAAGCGTGTCGTTGCCCCATGTTCCCCCCGGTCATCTACTCCTCCAAGCTTCGGGAGCCCCTTCATGGTGAAGATAGATGTAGGCGGGGACCAGGGACTAGCGTGAGAGCAAGACATGTCCGGGTCGGCCGTGGGGGGCGTGGACGGTGGAAAAAGAGAGAGATAGGACTCCTCCTCCCTCGCCTCGCCTCGCCTCTCACGTCTGAAGCGCGTTCATTCGGCGCCAGACCGACAATTTGTCGTGTGCCATAGCTAACAGAAAATAAAAAAGGGCTCGGGTGAAACCCACGCGGGTTGACGTAAAAAAGACTCAGCGAGTCTAGGCTGGATGAGAGTGCCGGGACCGGGCCCGGGTTTTCACGCTATGTGGCCGGCGGGGGCCTCTCGAGGTCCCTTCATGCAGCTCTCTGATTTGCTGCCGAGTGACAATTATTCACGGCCATCACAAAGAGACTACGAGACAAGAGGGTTTGCGCTGCCGCGCGAGCGGTTGCGATCCCGGAGGCGGCGAGCCGAACAGGCATTTGCTGGGGCGGAAACCAGGAGTCCGCAACTGAACTGCAGGGGCACAGGGGTCTCAGGGATGGCCCGGACGCTCCATTGCTCGGGAGAGAGAAGAAGAGGACATGCCCTGGAATGCGCGAATGCCTCTCCCATCGACAAGCCCGGCGCGCGTGTCCCAAACAGGCCAGAACCTGGGGGACGTCATCCAACAATTGCAGCCCATGCCCGCGGACCCCCCACCACTGGCACATGCTTCCGCATGCACGGATTTCATTCTGTGTCTCGCCCTTCTTTCTTGACCTGTCACTGTCACTGGGGAAGAACAAAAAAGGGACCCCGTCAGATGTTGCTGTCATTGGAAATGGCCTTGCATGCCGTGGCGTGCCACTTGGGAACAAGAGCCGAACTGTAGTCCTATCAACCGTCTCTTATTGGTTGCCCCGGGTGTCGAGATACAGCAAGGTAGATCAAATCTTCAAGTTTTCAAAGCTGGGCTTCTAGCTCTACGACGCTAGAAGCCCATCTACCATTCGCCTGTCCGTACACTTCTCCCCAAATCGTCGATGCTGGTGCGGCAGCGCTGATGGCGGCACTAGAGAATTATCTGGGAAAAGGGAAAGGGGGCTTGTCACAATTTGGCCCATGACGCAGCAGGCGTCATGTCTTGCATAGACCCATGGGGTGTCCTTTTGGTTTCTCCATTATGCCACTTGAAGGTTCAAGATAAGAAAATCGCAGAGACGAGGATTTGCGACACATGTGAATTGATCATTGCAATTCGTAAGGTGTGGTGAGTGGTTGGACTGGAACCCAGGACCACACAGAAGCAGGCTAGCATGAACGGGAGATTGATTGACAAGAAAGAAAGTGTCCGAAGAACGGCGCGTCGAGTCGCAGTTCCGCGATCGGAAGTGAAAGGTGCCAATCTAAGTGACGGGAGTGTGCGACAACGAAGACGGCCACGGCTGGGGCTGCCGTCGGTGTAGTGAGTGGTGCGGCGCTGCAGTGGGTGACAGACTGAGCTGACATGCGAAAATGCTCAGCCGATTTGAGTCGGAAAGTGCGACGCAACCCGATACAATGCGCTCCTGTCTTCCCATACCTTGTCCTTTACCCCGCCGACGTCGCCCCTCCATTTTGGGGGACTTGGGTTGGGTTTCTGCCCCTCGCTTCTGAACTCCCGATTCCCGAACCCGCTGTCGCGTGTTTTTTTTTTTTTTTTTTTTTCGTCTTTCCATTTGACTACCGTAGGTGCTTAGCACGTAGTCCCCTGAAGACAAGCTAAGCAGGGGTTTCTTTCCTCCGGTGGTTCTCCGGGGCCATCTTATTCTTTGCCGCCGTTGCTGGAGAAAAAAAAAAAAGGAGGGGTTGAATCTGTATCCGTACGTACTATTTCGAAACCTCATCTCGGAATTGGGTTGTCCAAGGTAGTTCGGTTCGCAGCCTTACGGTGCGTTAGATCGCTTGAACTGTGTTGGCTGTTGACGGAGCAAGGAATCCTCGAGTCTCATTCGACGGTCACGGAGCAGGCATTCCAAAGTCAACAAACCACCACCGCAAACAGTCCCAGGGACTTTGCTCGCAGCTCCGCTGCGGAGGATGCTTTTACACACAGAGGCAGAGAGTTCCTCGGCACGTACGTAATAAGACGGCTCTGTGAATAATGCAAACCACGGTATTGGCTACCAAGATCAAATTGCAACTACGAAATACAGGTGAGCTACATCGTTACTAGAAAGCTTAACGTGTCTGGTGCATGTTTATCTATATTGATAGATCTCGTAGCTATTGATATCGCGAACTCTCAAAACCACACACACACACACACACACACACACAGCGCACTTCGTGTAGGTTGAGAACCGTGGTGTGCACCCTCGGTAGGTAGGCCGACGGGAGAAGAAGCACAGTCAAAACTCCTCGGCGTAACACAGTAAAAGCAAGAGATTGATTGATAACCTTAGATCCAAAAAGAACAGCGAAGGGGAAGGGAAAAAAAGCCAAAAAAAGTTCCCGCGTGGAGAATCCCAGCCAGCTTTCAGCCCAAACCCCGACCCGAGCGGATGACCGACCGACTGCGGCGACAACATCTACGGAGTAATAGAGTCTAGGACCGACGTGTTTCCATCTGTCTGCCCATCTCATCTCATCTCATCTCCCCCCTCCCGAAGTGCTCCCATCCAGTCCCCACCGCCGCCGCCGCCACCACCAAAACCGCCGATCCAGCAGCTGGTCAAGGCGGCCCTGAACCTGGCTCACCGCAGACACCTCAGTGAGTGACACGCACCAAAAAGAGGGCGGCGGCTGCTTTCTCCAGTTCTCATGTCCCGCCCATTCAGAGAGCAGCCGCCGCCCTTCCGCTGCCGGCGGCGCCCGGGGCGACCGACCGTCCCAACGAACCACAGCGCTTGCTCAGCGGTGCCCAATTCTCTTTTACTCAATTCACACACACAACCAGAACTCTCTCACTCGTCCCCGTCCTGCCAACCTCCGTACACATCTCAGATTCCCACAACGGAACTTGCCCATGGATCGAGACACTTTTTTCGGTGGAATAATGCCGCAATCTAAACTCATCTCTCTTGCTTTCTCCTCGTATTATGGCCATATTGGGACTACATACAGGACCACTCCTCCCGGGTTTTCCCGACATATGGAGGATGCTTCTCCGTCTTTTTGAATATCATGTTGCATCTTGTTTCTCCTGCATACCCTTCCCTTTCTTAGCTTACTCTGTTAGACCCATTCCCGACCTCCTTGTGCGGAATTCGAAATTCTCTTGGAACCCATATGGAGACCCAACGAAGAAAAATACAACAAAGCGAGCAAACGCCGTGAAACGCCTATCCCGAAACAACATATCTGCCTGCGTAAACCTGTAGACCCTCCACACCACCGCTGCATCTGCAGCTGCAGAATCTCAAAAGGTCGGCTCATGGGAAAAGAAAAGCTTAGCGTCGTGAAAGCCCCCATCCATATCCCCTCCATGTTCTAGGTATCCCACTTCTTGGCACGCCTTCTACCAGATTGCAGCCTGGTCAAAGTCGAACCTCTTCAGCTCCTTCCCTGCGTCTTCCAAGTCCTTCTTCGCCTTCATACGCATGTAGAAGATGGGGCAGTCCTTGCTACTGCAAATCACTTCGCAGTGCATGCTGCCCTGACACCGCTGGCACTGCGTCCAGAGCCGGCCGAATCGCACCTCGAGATCCGACGTCTTGTCCAGTGTCTTCTTGTACAATTCGCCGACCCGAGGCGCGCAATCCGAGCACACTGCCCCCGCGCTCTCCTCCTTGCCTCGGAGTGGTTTCTTGCATCCCATGCATGTTTGCGTCTTCTTTGCAAACTTCATCAGGCCTCCGACGGCCGGCGCCGACACTGCAATCGTGCGCGTATGCGCTCCCGTGAGCAGCGAGTTCGCCTTGGTCTCACCCAGAATGGGCTCGAAGATTCTGCCCAAAGGCTTCGCAAGCTGGTTATCAAGGTAGTATCGGGTGTCGATCGGTACGTTGTTTTCAAGGACGTAGATGGGATCCTCAGACTTCTCGTAGTTCTTTGCACCTGCCGCACCCTTGATCATCACATAGGCAACTCGATCACCTAGACCTGGTGCCGAGCCTGCATCGCGCTTCTTCATTCTCTGAGCGAGCTCGACGTGAGCCTGTTTGGCTGCGTAGTCGTCTTTGGTGAGCGCCTTCGTAATGACCAACTTTGACATATCAACCTTGTTTTGCAACAAGTCCGCAATCGTGTCTTTGACGTAACTGAGAGTAAAAGGTCAGTCGACATTATTCAGAAATCAGATGGTGCAAACTTACTCTTGCGCTCCCTGGACATCTTGGTCGATGAGCATCATTCGAAGCACCTTCTCAATCACGGTTTGTACGAGCAGGCAGTTGTCTCGTCGAACCGTCTCGATACCCTTCGTATCCATCTTGTCGTACTTGTTGGGATTCGTCCAGTACAGGCCGGCGTATCGCTTCTTGTTGATGAGCAGGTATGGGTAGTATACCTTTTCGAACTCCAATTTGATCGGCTTGACGAACTTGGAAGAGACAAAACTAGCAGCTTCTTCGCCAAACTTCATGGCCTCGGGAAGGTCCTTGGTGCCAAACTTGACCATGACAGAGTCAGTGTCACCATAAATGACCTGAGCGTCGTGGGTGTATCCATTGGCAATGCAGTACTTCTTCTCAACCTCTTCCTTGGTCTTCATAATCATCTGTCGGCCAAAGGCTGTTGTGCTACTGGCGATTTCGAGACAAGGCAGCTTGCCGGTTGTCGCACCCGTGAGTCCGTAGACGGAGTTTGCACTGATCTTCAAAGCCAGTTGTCGACCGTTCAACACTGCTTTCTTGAAAGGATCCGTTTCCCCAGCCAGTTCACGCTTGGCCTGCTTTCTTGCGGTCAAGAGTTCCTCGAGAATCTGAGCAAGGAGACCCTTCCGTTGTTTGGTGGTAACAAAGGTGTCGCCGTTCGGGGTGACGATGTAATCATCGTCCTTCTTCAGATCGAACTTCTCGATGGCCTTCTTGTTGACCAGTGTCGTATAGCATAGGTTGTGGGCCTGCATGATACTCGGGTACAGTGAAGCGAAATCGAGGGTTGCGATAGGCACATCGTAGTATCCTCGGGTCGGCTCGATGACTGTGGCACCTTCATACTGCTCATCGCTACCCTCAGATCTCATATTTGGAATGACCAGCTTCTGTTCTAGGGCCTTCCGGAAAAGCTGACTGATGAATTTCACCTGCTGTCCTCTGGAGAGCAAAAAGTTGAACGGGATACCAGTGACTCTGGCCATCTCAGTGTAGTTTTCGAGGCAAGATAGCTTGTCCATGAGCCGCTGCGGGAGGTATGCGTCCTTCAGACAGTAAAGAGCGAGACGGCGGCGCGATTCAGGGGTACCGTTGAACAACTCTGTGATCATGGTGTAGTGAACATCTTCCTTTTGCTCTCCCAAAAATTGGGAGCACACAGAGTTGAGCGTGTAACTTCGAAGGTGGTGGTCGCGCTGGACAAGCTGCAGTAAGTCGAGTTGCAACCGTCCATTGGTATTGGTGGCCTTGCTGTCGCGGTTACCCATCTGCTTACTGGAGAAATTCGTCTCCTTGGCTCTGGAAGGAATGCTAGGGATTCGAGACCAGTACTCGAATCCTCCGACCTTCAATGCCTTTGCCCTGTCGAGGAGGTATGGGAAATCAAAGTTGGCAATGTTGTATCCGATAATGATATCTGGGTCGACTTTGATGAGGAACTTCTGCCACTCGCTGAGCATCTTCTCCTCCTTCTCGAACTCGAGAATTTGTGTGGCGACGATAGGACTGGTTGTGTCTAAGCAGAACACGTTCCGCACGAAGGGCTTCTTTTCTCCGTATCTTGTCACCACGTTTGCAATCTGGATGACGGGGTCGT